ATCCAACTCAGGTGATTTGAAGATGTTCTTTGAACCCTGCCTTCGGTTGGGAGAGGTTTGTTTGGGATTGGGTTTCTGTTGTTGTTCGACAGGATCGACCTGTTGTTTCGAGGAACTCCCGCACTTGCTTCATTCCTTCATTTGCCTGTTTTTTCCACCCCGGAGTCCAAAGCCGTGCTGAATGCTAGCACTAACGATTGCACCTTTTGGGCATAAACACATCCAATCAAGGTTCAAGGTGTGGGGGATTACTGCCTGGTGCATTCTCACATTGAAGGTGCCGTTGATATTGCCATCTCTCTAGGATGAATAGAGTGTTTCTGACCGGAGTGAGTGTACCCTGTCCAGCTGTCCCCAGCTCTTCACGAGCTCATGGCTGATCACGGTGGCATGTGTGAACAACGCTGCTACTGTTACTGTCCTGCCATGTGTTCGTATCCCGTTGGCGGAAGTTGCTCGAACCACAAATGACCTACAGCCTGACGCAAGCCACGAAGCCTCGCAAAGACCGCTGAGCTTTTAACAAGACATGTTGTGTTTTCTTCAAGGAACGCAGGACATAGATTTGCAAGAGCTCCTTCACCTCCTTCCCAGGACAGTGATTTCAGAGTAGAACAAACCTCAACAGCCTCCACCAGACCAGTCTCCACCAGACCACGTGGCACAAGGGAACCCCATTACTCCACTGGGAGAAGACCCTAACTAGATGACTTTCTGGGTGGTGGTTGTTTTTATTCAACCTTTACTTGGGATGATTGAACCCCACTGACTCATCTTGTTCAAGTGAGTTGAAACCGCCAACAAGTTGTTGCGTTCTAATGATTCTAATGTTGTTTGATGATGTTTGATGCTGGGCTGTGCCTACCCATCCTAGCTCAAGATGTGTGTGTTAGATATCGTCATTCATGGTCCGTTTCCCCCCTGCCCATCCAAAAAAGGAAGATTTCCTAGGGCAAGTACGGGTTCCAAGTAGTCAGCACGCGCAAGTGAAGATCCAAAAGCTTGTTCAGAGTCTCAGGTTTTGGGGTTAAATGAGCAGCCACAGGTTGTTCCTCTCAGCCGCCGCAGATTCGTAAAAGGCGTGGGAACCGTTGGTTGTTGTCGTGGTCACGAGTTTAGCAGCAGCAGGAGGAGTAGTAGTAGTAGTAGCAGCAGTAGCGGTAGCAACTCGTAGTAGCAGCAGTTGCATTTGCAATATATCCCCAAACCTCCAAGCATTTTCTAAGAATGTGCTTCGGGTGGGTGCCAGCAGGGTCCAATTACTTTTGAGGAGGTACCACTGGAGCCCGCAAGGGCTGCTTCAGAAAGTCGGCCACTTAGTTCGATCGGGATCCAGTCCGATCGAACTACCCGTTTGCCATCTCACCCATCAACAACTCCATCATCAACAACTCCATCATTCCTGGAACGCTCATCTCACCCATCTCCAACGCTAGTCCCAGGGCCGCTCCGTCTTTTCATAGTCCCACTTCTAATAGGCTCAGACCGGACCTACCGAACATTCATGACCCATGAATGAAGTGGACTCTTGCAGGTCGTTCGATGCTCTTAAAATCTCTGGGATATGCACCACCTCCCAGATCCTTCCAGTCGCCGCACTTCCCGCGCTCCCAGTCACCGCCGCCACCCAGGCCACTTCCTTCAACTGCCGCAGCGCTACCCCGACGGCCGCGCCAGCGCCGGGTGGCTCGCCGCGCGGCGCGGCCGGCTGACCGCGTCGCGCTTCGCGGCCGCCTGCGGCGTCGGCCCCAAGGGCGGCGGCGGACGGGGCGCGCGGAAGGCAGCAGTGGCAGTGGCTCGGTGGGGGTGCAGGGCCCTGTTGAGGAGGAGTTGGAAGGTTTTTGGCAGCTTTCAGGGTCAGAGTCAAGCGATCTCAAAGGGAACCAATGGAGACCGATGGCGGTCAATGGATTAGGAGGCAGTGGAGAGAAACAATTGGGAGAGAAAACATACTGGCACTGCAGAAGGCAAAGGCTTCTTAATCTTCCAAAAAAATATGCCGGAGTTACGGGAAATTACACCGGAATTACGGGAAATTACGCCGGAGTTACGGGAAATTACGCCGGAGTTACGACGCGCCATTTAAAGCAACTCTTTGCAAAACATTGAGATTCTGAACAACACATGTTCCACAGCACAAAACTTGTCCGGAAGGCTCTGCAAACCTGCGCAGCTAGAACTATATCCCAGCGCCCCGACATCCTGAAACAATGGGAGCTAGTACATTTTTGCCTATGTTCTTTCAGCTTAGGTACACCCACTTGGGTCTTTTAACACGTGCATTGCACTGTACCGATTTCATCCGATTTCATTTAGAAGATCACCTAAACGGATCTGATAGCTCCAGTGTGAACCATGAGGAAACCGGTGGGATGAGAAAACAGCGGAACAGGCAAACGAGCACACTTTGCAAGCAAAATCATTGCATCAGTAGTGGGTTTACCTGAAGAAATGCGGACCATAAAGAATGCAAAGCCTTGAGAATCCACATAAAGTGACTTGGAAAACCTGCCGGACCAGACCAAATCCAGAAAAACGCCGGAGTTGGAAATCCGGCGCCGGACCCTGTAAAAGTGCCGGACTGAAGATAGGTATTGTCCGCCGTTGTTTCCCTTCCACTTGATTCATGAATAGCGTCTCAATGACTTTCAACGAGCTCTCTGAATTCGGGCGTCCTCTCGCCCTTCTGGCGAGGAGATGCTGGCGCTGCCGGAGGGGCGTCCGCAACAGGCCTCGCGTTTCGGTGTGCAGCACGAGGAAAGGGCCCGAGCAGCATACCTGGCCTGGCGCAGGAGCGACGAGACGAGCCTCAGAATCCAAAAGCTGCCGACAGACTCAGTTTTGCTATGTTTCCTTCAATTTGGGGTCTGTATTTGAGCAACGGAGACATACGGAGACAACCTGGCCCTGGTGGGGTAGACTGGTCCATTTTGCCGAACCTTCTGGGCGATCGTTGCCTGGGAGGTCCCCCTACTTGAGCTACACACCCATTTGGCAGTCTTCGAGGTTTTTGGGAAGGCATTTGCTGGCAGGATCCCGGATCCTGGCAGACGAGCTGGCAAATCTTCCATCTTTCAACCGCATCGAATTCATCCCCCACGGGGAATTGTTGAATCAAGTTCCATGCCCCCACTGCAAAGAGACACCCCAAATGGGCAAAACAATGCAACACATGTTATCTTCGATGGTTTGAGCTTAAGCTGAGTCCCCGCTGCCACCAGCTTCCCAGCGCACACTGCGTATAGGGCTTCACCCCAGCATGCCGAGTCGCTCGAGAAGTGGGCACCCCAACCACCTGACCCTGCCGAGCCCGCCACGTCCGAGGCTTAAGGGCCACCAGGTGGACATCCAATCGTTGGGCCTTTGTGTGTGGCCTCAGGAGCCGTGGTTGGCAGGCACGGGAGGTCAGAGAGCAGGATCCACCTGGATGTGGGAACCAGAATTTCAGTAACTGGTGAAAAACTGACATGCTGCAGTTGGTCAATGGTAACAAATCACGCCAGTCGCGCAGACCACAGAGAGCAAAAGCATGCAAAAGCACCAGTATGCAGGCTCTAAAGCGCACGGCCAAAGACATCTCAGCTCCAGCACCCCTTTGTCGCAGCAGCTCCAGCACCCACATGTGGCAGCGGCACCCACACCCAGCGGTGCGAAGAGTCGAGCTTTGGTGCGAAGTGGTCACTGTGTTTTCTTGTCTCCCTCCTTTTCTCCCTTGCTGTCTCCCTTCTTGTCTCCCTGGTTGTTTGCCTTCTTGTCTCCCTTCTTGTCTCCCTTCTTGCCTCCCTTCTTGTCTCCCTTGTTGTCTCCCTTCTTGGAGAGAATCGAATCTGTCGGGTTTGTTCCGAGTAATGGGCGTCCGACCGTTGAAATCGTGGGCATTTCAAGGTGACCATGTTGCGACAAAGGCGTTTTCTGCAGAAGACAAGGTGCACATGAGAAAAACCGGAACACTTGTTTTGGGCCTTTTATGATAACGGAGAAGTATTGGACAGAACTCAGGTGTGGAAAACGGATGGAACCGTGCATTCCCTGAAATAATCATCGAAGTGGAGCCACCTGGTTGATCTGCTTAAATTGGTACTCGACAAATGGTCATCCAACTCCAGGATTGCAACTCAAGGATCATCGCTTCACCGGCGGGTCAGTCAGCGGTGGGGTTCAGAACACGTGAGCCCGTCTTCAGCAAGACCCGCAGGTTCTCCGGATGGTCTTTGCTTGCTTGATGGCACCCCTGAAGGACCGGCACTGGGATGGTACATGGCGTTGTTTGACACAGTTCGAGTTCGCAGGTTGCTCAATCTCAACCTGGAAGGTTGCTCAACTGGATTCATTTGGTGCAGTGTTGCATAGCATTTGGACCACAATCACTCATCAGTCCAAATCATCAGTCAGTCCTTCATCCGCAGGTTCCTCTTCAGTTCGTTCTCTTTTACCATCCGCGTGGATCCCCATTGCCAGGGTTGCCCTGGTCTTCGAGGTCACCCATCTTGAGTCTTTGGAACCATCTTAAGTTTTTCACTGGACACTTCTGGGTATGGTAATGCTCTTTGCCCAGCTATCGGCACCTGGCCCAGCTAGCATTTCGCTCAGCCAGGGCTGTTGGAGATCAAAACGGCGACATCTCTTCACGTGCCGGACGAGGAGTTGCCAGTGCAATGGATCTATCAGGCGCGTTCGACAGCTTCTACAAGACGATCGATGGCTTGTGATTGCTTCATCTATGGCACGTCATGGTCATCACACTCGAGATATGATGCGTACAGCTGGAAAGCCATAGGTCCAGAAAAAAAATAAAAACATACCAGGGGTCACAAAGGGGTGGTGCTTAGTCCCTAAGTGAGTGGATACTGGGCACCCCTAAAGTCCATTACTGTAAGCACCCCTTTGAAACTCTTGGTAGAAAGCAAACAAGGCTCCCCCTGAGTCCACAGGTTACAAACGCACACACCCACGCACGCACGCACACGCACGCACGCATTCCTTTTTCATTCTATTTACAGCCTTCGGCATGCCGCCGGACACCAGCTCGAGCCCGCATTGGCAGGCAGCTTAATGATACAATACCCTGCTCAATCATACTTGTTGGATCTTGTTGGTGCATTGGAGGTGCACATTTGGCTGGGTGAGTTTGTTGATGTTTATTTCAAGGTTGTTTGACCATGAAATGGAACAAATCCGAATCAGAGGTTGTCTATTCTGATCCAGCGATCCGAACCGGCATGTCTCAGTCGAATCACCTAAGAGGAACCAAGTGAAACCAACACAAGCAATGCGAACCAAGACTATCCACAAAACATGACCTTGAAAACGATTCTTCTTCCAAACTACTTGGCCGTGTGCATGTTTTCCTTTTCAGATCTTTTTTTCGACCATCTCGAGGGATTGCGACACGCACCAGATATTCTTTTTCACACACAGAAGGCTTCAAAGCGACCGAAGAATTTCTAGATCTTGCATGATTTGCCGTTTTTTCTCCAAACCGTTTGAAATGAAAGACCCAGAATGACATCGAACAACAATACCCTGCTCAATCAGACTTGTGGCTGCATTGGAGTTGCACATTTTGCTGGGAGAGTTTGTTGCTGTGGATGTCAAGCGAAGTCGTTTTACAATGAAATGGAACGAATCCGAATCAGAGGTTGTCTATTCTGATCCAGCGATCGACATGTCTCAGTCCAATGGTTGTCTATTCTGATCCAGCGACCTACTACCTACTACCTACTACGTACCACCTACTACCTAGTATTGCTACCACTACTATTACTACTATTACTACTACTACCACCGCCACTACCGGGGAGGGGGGGGGGGCGTCAGGCTGTCGAAAATCTCGCGCGGAGAGACAATACTCAAGCAATGCTAACCAGTACAAGCAATACTAACCAAAACAATCCACAAAACACGCCGGCAGGCCGGCGGATTTGTTCGACTCCGAAAGGCCTGTGTGAATGGCCTGTTCCGAAGCGCCTGGGCGAGGCTGTAAGCACCGCCGCACGTGGATTTGAAACGGAACGGGCCAGGTGAATGGCGTCTTGAAGGTGGCCACTGAAGCTTTGAAAGCTCCGCTCCCCTGGTGCGACCTCTTTCTTTGGACACCTGAAACCTGGCGATGTCCACAGTCAAACGAAAGATTGGTGTTTAGGGTTGGGGGCTCGGTTGCATGTTCTATTGTTTTAAGATGTTTTAAGATTTTGTTTAGTGTGTTTGTTTATTTTTGTGTGTATGGTTTGGTTGGGAAGCTAAACTTGTTTATTAATTGTTGTGTTTTTTTATAAGAGGGTCTTGAATGCTTGTGACGAGTGGAGGGTGTGTTTCGACCTTAGACTCTTTAGATTTGTCATGTGCAAGTGCTCATGGAGTCTAATGATTCTAATGTATGTTGGGTCGAACGTGCTGGAGATGTTCCATATTCCAAACGCGACTCGTCTGGGACTGCCATAGGACTGCCGAGAAGCGGCCAGGGGTGGTGCCAGGGGGTCTGTCTGGGGCGGCATATATGGCAGTCCCATGGAGTGTATGGGTATGACTGGTTTTGACTCGAAGCGACACTGAGGACACATTTACCTGTCGGAGAGTGAGCTTTGATGAGGAACTTTGGCAGAAACAAATGCTGCTGGGCAAAAGCAGATGGCATGATGATGTGGCTACACGCCCACTAAACCAGTATTAGCCAAGGTTAGGGTTATATAAATGTTGAGATAAGCGTTTGCTGTTCATGTTCATGGGTCTCGAGTCAAGAAATACAGCCATAGTGGGAGGGATGTCTGAATGGATCCCGCAGAGGCTCTCCTTCCTGTCGAGTGAGGAAGCCTTTATGCTGAGCACTCAGCTAGCTGCACTACCCAAGAACTATTTTCGGATGAGGCTGCGGGAACTCATCAAGGCCTATGGGAACTCATCAAGGACTTCTGCTAATAATCCACAACCGCTGCTGCAGCTAAGTGGCATGCGTATGTCAGCGTATGGGCCTTCATAGGGTTTGCATAGGGTCTGAGTCACGCACCTCCCAGCATTGGTCCTTGTTTTCGCGGATTCAGACGATTTGCATGGACCTCATTGATGGAGGGGTTGCGAACCACTGCAAGTCCTTGCTTTTATCCTTGCTTTTGTTGATTACTGTAATATGTTAATATAGCTGGTAAATGCTGGTAATCAAGAGAGTCCGCAACCTTCCAGTCGTAAGTCGTAAGCACTTGCCATTCACCTTCTTCCAACGATGCTGGTCAACAGTTGAGGTTCCCTCAGTTGCGCAGCTTCTACTTCGACCACTACTTGCCAGAGTCGGTGGCGCGCGAGGAACAACGCCAAAGCCGCTGCAACAAGCAGCGGCAGAAGAACGCGCGGCGGAAGCAGAAGCGAAAGAAGTGACGGCCAAGAGCTCAAAAAGTGCTGGGAGAACCTGTTGTTGACCCCTTGGTACGCAGGGCTTAGCAGACTTGTTCCAGCTATCATTCTGTTTTGGTCGAACAGTTCCGCGCTGTAGTTGGTCCAGTGCAGAATGCAGGCATGGTTGAAAGACAACAGATTGTCAGTAACAATTGCTCGATTCCAAAGCATCAACTGTAATGGATGCTGAGTGCAACAAGTGCTGGTGGGTCCATCCAAGTGGGTCCATCAGGTTCTTCGCCCACGCAGGGGGGCGCGACACGGGCCGCGGGGCCGACTCTTTGGACCACTCCCTGCTCCTGACCGAACTGACCGAACTTGATATCTCGGGTGAATCAATCACTGCCTGGGCCTGTCAGGTCGGTCCTACGGCCCTCCAAAAGGTCACTGCCTGGGCCTGAAGCTGGAAACCAAGAGAGGTTAATGACCGTAAATAGGATCCGTAACCTGGGGTACCCAACTGGAATAGTCTAGTTCGGGTCCTTCAACCTGTGTTGGAATGTCCTTAAAGACGCACCTGCGAATCTTCCGGGCGCTTGGAATCTTCGTCGCATCGTCCGCACTCGTCAGGAGCTGCTCGACCTGTGCACACGCGGCCTCCACGAGTGATTTCTGAACTCCGACACCACCAAGGGTTTAAAAAGCCTCAGCGTGGCGGGGAGGACATGTCCAACCCTATCCCAAACACTCCATGGGACTGCCATATAAATGCCTACATTGACCCCCCGGCACCACCCCAACTGATCGGCATATATGGCAGTCCCATGGAGCGTTTGGGTCTAGTCAATGGATTTTTGGGGGTCAGCCATTGAGCCATGCTCCTAAGATGGGCGGCCAAGCGTTCGATGAGGCGTTCGGACGTCGATTGGATCTTGAGCAACCAGGAGCAGCAAGGCCTACCGCCCCTTCCGCCTTGGGAGCCTGAGCCACAGGACTGGCATTTGGACGGAAAAGACATGGCCAGTGTTAGGACCAGAGTAGTGCAGTGACCTCGAACTGGAAAGACTAAGTGAGCTCTTTAGGGGCGAGTCGTGATGAACATTCTGAGATTTCATGTCTCACTCTTGTGGTAGACTGTGCTACTCCGGGCATTGGGATGGTGAAAGCATTTGGAAGCAATCCAGGTTGCAACATGTTGCAACTGCTTTTGGATGACCCGCACTTTTAGATGAAGAACATTTGGAACCAAATCATGCTGCAGCTGTAAGCGGCCTGAAATGAACCAGATGGACTACTCTACTCACTAACATGGAAGTGGACGGTTCTGGACCCTTACACTTGAACCAGTGTGGTGAACCACGCTTCACGCCGCAGGAAGTGGTGCGGCCCGAGCGTGAACGGTCGGCACCGCCACAGGCGGCTGGTTACCGGGTGAACTTCTTCGGAGGGCCGAAGCTGGATGAGGAGATGGTCTTTTGATGTAGACTGTTGATGGTCTGTTGAAGCCCCCACGTCTCTTTAGAGGTTTTTTTGGGGGTTGGTCCATTGCTCCACCAATTGACTGATCGAAGAACATACTTTGCAGCGACTGTGGCTAAATTTGATGTGGGCAGTTGTCCTGAAAGAGGAAACACAACAGGAATTGTATGTATGTGTGTGTTCATCCCGAGGGAAGGGTTGACTATACTGTTACACGTTTGCCACATTCTTTAAAGTGATGGAGCTTTGAAATTCCTATTTCCTGAGCCCTTCTAAAGCCAATCAGTGACCTCAAACCAGGACATCAAGTTTGGTCACTTTGAAGAACCAGGCCAAGTACCAACAACATTTAGGGAACTTTGAACACTTCACAGCTGAGAGAGCCGCGAATACAGGTTGTTTCCTCAAGTAGTGTAGTGCAAGGAAACACGCTTCAATGCTGTGGTTGACGGTTTTCCAATGGTTGTCCTGTTCCCTCGGGCTCCAACTAAGATGGTTTGGAAGGGTTTAGTGAGTCTAACCACCTTCTCATGATATGGTTGGAGCCCCAGGGACCATTATGATTATCATAATATTGCATGTCGAGTGCAGTCTTGCAAACACGACGGTATTTTTGCCTTTGAACCAGTGGTTTGCGCGCTGTTTTCATAGCTATGAAAGCAGTTGTGAAGAAGATCAGCTTCATAAGCTGCTTCCTTGGACGCCTTTTCCATGCACCGAGCGTTTTCCCTTGCCAACCTGGCCACAATCTTCTTCCGGACGTCTTGGAGGTCGATGGAGGTCGATGGGTCTTCCGTCCTGGATCCCATGTCACCCCACACTCCAGGGCGTCCAGGTTCACTCCCACACGGTGATGTCCAGACCTCGAGATGGGCAGAGTTCCAGGTAGTTTGTTTAAAGAAGAAGGCAATGCATGGTGCTTGTTGGATTTTTAAGTTGGGGATGCAGCAGTTTAGGATTTTCACCTGACAAGATTTGTATCGGCAGTTTGGTCGGATTTGTGTGGGCTGCGACATGGTAAGCAGCACTGTGGCCACTTGCAGACGCTGCCTTCCAAGGGACTCAACAATCAGGGTGCAACCCTGAAACAAGAGATCTGCAAAGAACTGCCAGTCGCATGGGGCCCCCCCTCCCGATGCATTGCGTGACCTGAGTGAAAAGCTCTATCCCCTTCAGAACTCTTGGCTCACTTTCCAAGTCAGCAACTAGACTAATGTATCCTTAGCAACTTGTTCCCAAGTAGTGGTGGCTCACACGCGGGGTTTCTCATAAAAGGTCCTCGGGATTTTGAGCCAAGGGACCAGTTGTTGAAGCGAGACTGGAAATGGCTGGCTGTCCAATTGGTACTGTAGGTCGGCCCGGATCAATGGTATCAGGTTTCTTCGAGGTGCATTTGACAGGTGCATCCATGCCAGTTCTATGTGATGTGTTCGTTTGAGCCTAGCAATTGGGAACAACAACAACAACAACAACAACAGCAACAACAACAACATTCTGTTGCAGTCATGGTGCCCCTGCTCTCGCCACGAACACATAAATCCCTTAAAGGCCTCTCTCCACGGTAACCGCAGGCTCGGCTTGAGGGATTCACCAGGCAGACGGTGAAGGAGCCTGTTTCTTTACACTCCCTGTATCAAACAATGGAAGTGGAAAGCACTTTGTTTGGGTAGGGGCCATTTGTAAGGGGTCATGGAAAGCAGCAAGGAGTGGAACGGACCCTGCTTGTAGCGTTTTCAAGGGGCCATGCCATCCATTTCTATAATCATTCTGCCAATGTATCCAAGTAGGCTCAGGTAGCTGGTGAAACCCCTCCAAGGCGCTGCTGTAAGGCTCACCTGCCGCACCAAGCGGGCCATGTCCCGCAGGGGGTGCTGTAGGATCTCTCCCGTGCAAACGATCGCTCGCTCGCTCAGGTTTGCTCCTCCTGGTCACGCGGGGCACGCCCGGTGTCGCGGGGGTCGGGTGTGCAGTTCGGTGAAAGCACCGCGAGCCACGATCAACAACCCTTCCTATAATCATCCCAAAGCGCGACCTGCTTGGGACTGCCGAGAAACGGCCAGGGGTGGTGCCAGGGAGGTCAATGTAGGCATATATGGCAGTTCCATGGAGTGTCTGGGCATGGTTACGTGGATGGCATGGCGCCTGGGAAGAACAGACCAAACAGTGGATTCTCCACTTCCATGTTGCAGGGCACCCAAAAAACCTCAAGGCAGCATTGAGTGTATGAGACCACAACCCACACACTTCTCACTAGGGCTCCAGTCGTACCTCCTCAGAAGGTCACCCCAGACACCTTCTTAGAAAGTGCGACTGGAGCCCATCTGGGTTTGAGAAAAAGGTGGCGCTTTGCTACGACCCAGAGCCCACTCCCGAAGGAGACTCCCGAATGACCAGGTCAACTAGCGATGTTTGCAAAGACAAATGCGTCAGCTCGAAGTTCCGCTGGTATGCTTTGGAACTAGTACTAATTGTAGTTTAGTTCGCATGTATCACATGTGTGGCACATGGAAAGCATAGATGTTCACTTCAGTGCGTTCATGTATCACAACGTTTTGGAGAATTAACTGAAGAAGTCACACCGGTGTTCTTCATGTGCCACTCTCTGCAGTACTCTTCAGCTTCCACATGTTCGCTTCACAGGATGCAGTGAGGTCTTGCTTCCTACACTCTCGGTCAGCAGTCCGGGCGTGCTCTGCGTGGACATCTGTGCAGACATCATTGCTTTGGTGGTTGATTGCAGTGTGCTTGGTTGTACCTGCTTGCGTGGTTGGTACCTTTTTTGAGGGTCAGGGGGTCAGGTGTCGAGATGAATTCTAAAAGGTCCTTGGCCCTCCATGGGGGGGTCGGATGTAGTCTCAGAATTTAGTTTTCACTGCACCTTTTATCTGAGGGTTTTATGAATCAAGAGTCAAGAGTCTACATTCCTTAGGAGGGGTCCGGACCCGAAACCTGCCACCCTTCCCCTTGCTTGAAGGGCAATTCTTGGTCGACGGATGCCGACGGGTGCTACGTCGATCTTCGTTGCCCGAACGGCCACGCGGCTACGAAGGGTCCAGGCATTCCTCGGGCACCCAGGTCATGGGTCATTTGGGGCCACCCCCTGGGATGATGATGCCTCCGTGGTGCACCCAGTGGCGTGTGTGCTGGGCGGTGGGATGGTGGGTTCCACCTGTTCACCAGATGGGCGGTGGGCAAAGTGAGATTAAATTGGATGTTGGCGTTGGATCAGGGGCAGTTGATGTTGGATCAGGTAGGTTTTAGTTGGATAGGTCACTTATGGTCAGTTGGATCAGGTCAGGTCAGGTTCGAAAGATCCATATTTGAAGAACATGTTTACGTTCATGTACATGAGATCTCACCCAGAGGGTCAGGCTGATGATGAATTTGGGGTGTGCGGCACCGTGTCCCACAATACGGACAGACAGGCGGGACAGACAGGCGGTCAACTGGTCCCTTCGGATTCTCGGGGCGGTCCGCCGTTCGATCCAAACGCGCGGGCGAAGCCGGGATGAGGCGCAGGCGCAGGCGATGTGACAGCTTGAAACATGTTCGGTCACTGAGGCCCAAGAGGAGCCCAAGACGAGCCCAATTGGGGTGTGCATTTGAAGCAGGGGTGTGAACCCCCTTGGCTTGGTAGATCGGTCTATTGTCCTTCGAACCGGGGTTAGGAATGCCAAGGTCTTTCTAGTTCAATACCACTCATATTTGCACTCTCCAACTGGTGTTTCCTGCTGTTTATGCAAGTGCAAGAGAAGCATTCTGAATCTCAAACATTCGGCATGGCATATGCTTGTCTTTCGCACCTGAAGCCGAAAAAAGACAAACAAAACCGCTGCCTTCAGTCGGCTCAAGTGGCCTCCCCCGTTGCTCAGTGAAGCCGACGTCCCTTGGCGGACTCTCAGGGCTGGGCTTCGCCAGAGTAGGGATCGCCAGATATCGCCAGCTTTCCGTGTCCAGTTTTGGACGAGTGTTTCATAGTGTTTCTATGTTGGTGACCAAGGCTAAAGACTGAAGAAAAAAGATGGAAAAAGGATACAACCAGCTACAATTTGGGCTATTACAAACATTTACCGACTCTTCATTCTTCACCGTTTGCACCTCAACTTCTCGACCTGGGCCGCCCATCTCGACCTGGGCCCCGCCGCCTACTCCCCTCCCGCTCGCTCGCTCGAGGCAACGGTCGGATGAGGAGCGGGTTCGGTCTGGGTGGGTTCGGGTGGAGCGACCAGTGGATCGGTCCGGTCGGATCCACTGCGTCCAAGCAGGTGCTGGTCCACCGCGTCGAGCGGAGGTGGAGCTCGGGTCGGCGGAAGAAGGCCAGTTTGAGGTCACCCACAGGTCATTCTCAGTTCGAAGAAAATAGGTCGAAGACTTCAGCATATTTGGGATTTGGTCTATAAGCTGGGTGGGCCTGTGTGGCGTGTGGAGCGCCACATAGGCTGAGCTGCTATTGGGGGTGTCCTATTAGTCTCAGTCCCGCGACTAATGGGACTGCCATAGGACTGCCGATCAGGCCAGGGGTGGTGCCAGGGGGCCTGTCTGGGGCGGCATATATTACAGTCCCATGGAGTTTTTTGTTGTAGAGCCGTGGGTTAACAAGAACTATATCTATCACATACTAGCTATCACTGATCACTATTAAATCACTATTTTAGAGGAAGGCCTGCTACATAACCATGATCATCCACTGGGTCCATGGAATGGGATACATGTATGGAATATATGCCCACATTGATGAGGAACTGGTGTTTTTTCTAACAGGGCTTATCAACCGGGGTGTTGTTTTTGCATCGGAAGCCTTTTGGGCGGACGTTTGATTGGCCGCCACGGCTTGTTTTCGAACGTTCACACGTGTTTTCGAACGTGTGAGAACGGTGCAGGATCTTTATTCATAATGTGGACTCCTACATTGGGAGAGCGCTGGTGAAAGAGCTGAGGAAGGCCGATGGCTCCTCGGCAAGGAACAGTACTAGCTCGGGCGATTTCGACGCCCGGACTCACCCGCCCGCCCCGGCTCCGTCGGCCCCCGGCCGCGAGCGTCGTCGTCGTCGTCGGATTACCAGAGGTGGCACGCGGCGGCCGAACCTGCGTGCCATCCCGCGTGCCGCGCCACCCCCCTCAGGCGGCCTCAATCGCATCTTCGGCACCGTGAAGAGCGGCTCCTCCGCGCCGCCCGCGGTGAAGCGCGTCGTGTGCCGCGACGATCCCAAGAAGGCGCGGGCGATGGCAAGAGGGAGTGAAGATCGGCGGGTCGGCGGTGGGAGGAGAAGAATCTAAGTCGCTTGGTTGAGGAAGGGTGGTAGACTTTGGAGATGCCGGAATAGCGGCAGGACGTGAGGTTTCAGGGGTTGGAAGTTGATGAACTTCAGGGGTGAGGAGGCAGTAAACAGAGGACCCCATGGAGATGCCTGGAAAGAAATGAGTCACCAGTGAGTCAGGCCAAGAAGATGGCTGAGACCATGCAGTCCTGCAGATTGGTGGCCACCAGTCGGCAACCGCTCGCGGCGAGAGCCCGGCGAGAGAGATGGCCGGGCCATGAGCCCCGCGAGGACGGGAATGAAAGGATGATGTCTTCATGGATGATCGTTTAGGCTTATCTTATTGTGTATGAAGGAGTCACTATATATAGTAATATCCGGTGGTCTCAGAGTATGTCACTGGCAACCCAAGATGTCTTTTCGATGGGTTCCAAATGAATCACCAAACTTGGGGATTGTGCTATCTACTCTGAGATCACTGTAGTTGGGCAAAATCCTGGGAGAACCCACTGAGATGTAGAAAGATTGTAGAAGCTTGCTTTTGTTTGTATAGTATGGAGGTACTCATCAAAAATGCTGCACTCTCACGTCGACTCTAATCAGAGGCTAATTGTGACCGGTTCTTTCCAGCTCGGTTTCCTGTTCCATCCTTTTTCCCCTGCTTTTGACCGACGTGTGGTTCTGAGACCAGATGACCTGATCCAAATAGATAGCTTTCTGAACAGGCTTGCTATACTGTCAAACATATATATACTTAAACCCTATAGTTTAGAGACCCCCCAACATGAGGTGTGCCTTGGCCTCCAGCACCATCCACACTGCATGTCGATCTTTACCGATTGCCTCGCTGAGGTCATCAGTTTGAACGACTGCAGCTTGGAGGATCTTCACTTCGCCATCACCGCGTTGAAAGTCGACCCCAAGGTGCGCAGAAACCGGTTTGTCGGCTGTCGCAGGCGACCAGCCACCCAAGCTTATCCCTACAAGTCCAGTCTGACCCAGCAAAACCTTGTCCTTCACCTTCACCTGCTTGACGAGTGCTTTTTGTATGACCAGCTCCAATAATATTGATGTCTTTTTGATCTGTAGGGTATGATTATTTGTATGGGGCTCTGGAACCACCATTGAACTGGAGAAAGTGAACAGCTGTCCACGACTTGTCAGAGAATGGCCATAGAGGCGGTTTTGGGGCGTCCATACCAATCCAAACCTCCAAGCCACCCATTGTCTTGGTTCATTTTACCCACAGGCTGACATGTAGTGCCATCACATGCCATCACCATCCATCACCCTATGATTTTGATAGATTTCAATGTTAATGGCTGCATCTATAATCATCCATACACTCAGGCCCAAACGCTCCATGTATGCCATATATGCCTACATTGGGGTGGTTTCGGGGGTCAATGGGGCGGCATATATTCCAGTCCCATGGAGTGTTTGGCATGGACTTTGCCTTCCAGGTTCTTTGCTCCAAATCCACCGGACCGGCTTCACCAAGCTCTGTCCCAGCTCCGTCCGCCGAACGACAGGTCACGCCGCCCAAAGTGCTCGGCGAGTTGGAGAGCGAGGTGATCTTCCTGGTGATCTCCTCTGCCCCTTGGTCTACAAGAACATTGGGGGTTTGATTTGTGAGGGAACATCCACAGGAAACAGTGAAAACCACCATGATTTGGGGCTGAAACTCCACATCTACCAGGACCAGACCGACTTCACAGGTCACCAACCTCTTTCGCGACTTGTTTTCAAGCCGACGGAAGAGGTGGCCCTCCAGGTATCGGAGGTCCCTTCACACGACCCCTAGACGGGACTGCCATGGACTGCCGAGTGGCACGGCCGGGGGTGGGTGCATTTGGGGGGTCTGGGGCGGCAGTCCTGGCAGGCAGTCCCATGGAGTGTTTGGGGAGTGAATGGGTGAAAGTCCCACTGGGAGTCCGTATACGACGTAGAGCCGGCTCCCGGTACGAAAGCTGGAGCTGAAGATCTGTAGCGCGATGGGAGGCCGGTGTGTTTTCTTATGGGGGGGACCCACACAGGGATGAGGGGAGGCGTTTGGAGGAGGGTATGACCGGGTTGATCAAGCAGCATATTCAGCTTCTTGGCGACTTCAGATACTTGGTTGGAGCAGCCATGACTGCTTGCAAGTTTGGAAAGCATGGAAAGTCTGTTGAATCTGATGACGCGTTTGAGGAACTGGAGGAATGATCGATGCCGCACGAACACGAACTACGCCACGCTGAGGTGATGGTGTGGGCCGACACCAAGCCCGAAGCACCTGGCCAGGCCATCAAGGACGGCCCGCACGGTTCCCTCGACGCTGCGGCTGGCGTCCGCGCCTGCGAGAATGGTGGCCTCCAGGATGGAGGGAGATGTCAAGTGTCAAGATGAGGTGGCAGAACCCATGGTCCCATATTGTCCCTAAACCACCAAGTTGTAGACAAACATTGCATATCATAGAGTTAAATTGAGTGTTTGGCAAATGGCCATAGTTGGGAAATTTACTCGAATCATTCCCGGGCTTTCAGACCGAGTTTTAAAACACACCACACATCGCTTTCGGACCCCATCGCCCCTCGACCTGGCGGTGCGTTGATGATGCTTGTGAGCTAGTGCAGTCCATCAAAAGTAGTGGCAGCTGTTGTTTGCGTGATGTAGACCTTGGCAAAGTAATTAATGTAGGATCTTGATTAATACACCCTCAAGATGAAAAGGTTGTTCAATCCAAACGAGGAGGGTTATCAATCAAGATCCTACGTTGTTCTACCTTGTGCCGCTGATTGCAGATGATTGAAGCTGGAATGAGTTCATGGTCCATGGTCCATTGCGATTCGGGGCGCCGAAAAACCAAGATATTGCTATTGCTTTGTATACGTTAATTACTTGTCGAAGTAAACAGTAGACTATAGTAAAGCGAAGCGCTTCATGTGTTCAAATGCGACAGCTTCAACATGCCTTATCCGGAGTATGTTATTTTCTTCCCGCTAGCTGGTTTTGTACGGTTTTGCCTTATTTGTTCAATGCATGACAAAATGTATTGCTTGGTTGGAAGACCATAAATGGACTGACAAGACCTCAAGTAACAGGGCCTAAAAGGACTTCATTGTCGTTGAGTAACATCGTTTGTGCGACCATCACAAACGAAGAGAACCACCGGCTAAGTCACGAAAGGTAGCCTGGTAAGGACTACCTTGAGTTTGCTTTGCGAAGCAAAGGGACTGGCTTGAGAGCTTGCTCGGGACTAAAGATTGGTAGATCAATGTCTAACACCCCCGCCCACCCCCCCCTCCCCCCCCC